TCATAAATATACGAAGAAACAAAATCTAAAAATGAATAAAATTCAATAATGGAATTTTTTTTCAAAAATTTGGAAAAAATTCATAATGCAAAAAAAGAAAGAAAATTGTGTAATATCAAGAAAAATTATGCAATACAGAAGAAAAAGATTACTATAATTCTTATGATATTTTTCATAAATTTACACAAATTTTTAAGAATTAATTTTCAAAAATAAAAAAGAAAGAAAGAAAAAATTCTTAATGTTAATCATTTAATATTTAATATCAATAAAAAGAGTTAAGAAAAAAATATTAGCAAATTTGAACATTAATTGATATGTAATAAATATTATCTAATAAAACATTTGCTATATACTTATTAAATTGTAAATGGATTTATATATTTATAAGATATATTTATGAGTATATTTCATATATGAAAACCTAATATTATCCAAAAATTCATATAAATTATCAAAAAATTAATTTAAGTAAAGAAAAATAAAAAAAAATAAAAATCTTAATTATTTCAATATTAAGAAAAAGATATATATAATTTTCATATATTATAATTTTACTATAATTTTCATAATATTAGCCAAGTTAATTAAAAAAAATTAATTAAAAAAAATAAATAAATAAAAAGTTCATAATCTTAATCGTTTGAATAATACCAAGAAAATTTTCAAAAATTATATATATCATAATTCACAAAAATGAAAAAAAATCTTTAATCTTAAATTATTTCGATTAAATTAATTCGATTACTCAAATTATACCATTTATTCTCTATATAAATATATATATACTATATAAATACTAAAAAAATACTATATACTAACTTTCATATTACCATCCGATTCACAAAAAAAGAAAAAAAAGACATAAAACATCTTTAATCCTAACCGTCTACTTAAAATGAGTCATTATTCTCATAATATTATCCAAATTAATTCACAAAAATAAAATAAAAAAAAAATAAAATATCCTTAATCTTTAATCGTTCCATTACTATGATTCTCATATTATCACACAAATTAATTCACAAAAAAAAAAAACGAAAACGAAAATAAAAAGAAAATATAAAAAAAGACCCTTATTCCTTCGTCTCGATATTTAAATCGAATTGTTCCATTAAGTTCACTCGCGTGACGTCGATTAGATAATATTACAGAGTCGCGCCGGCTACCTTACCAAGGATTTGTGCGGACCTGTAGTCGCGGTTTTACGGCTACGAATCCCAAGAGCCGTGTGTCTGCCATATGACAATAACATCTGTGCCCCACGCCAAAGTATACGCGTACCTGCGCCTGAGTCCGCTACCACGTACAACACCATCTTGCAAGCCCGACCGAGCATCACCACTGTACGAAATGAAATCGAAAGGTGTTCCCTCATGGCGGGGCAAAGAAACGCAGCTGGTAAAATATTTGTACGGAAGGGAAACGTCTCGTTTCGCGATTGTCGATTAATTAACAAGGCTCGGTGATCTGTTTGCGCGAATGATTCGCGCGGAGTGGCGAATTATATGCGGTGTTGGATTCCTTTGGTTAGTGGTCGATTATGAAAAGTAAATTGTGTTGGTGAGATATATTTTCTGGATGTCACGTCTTTTACTCTTTTGCTCTGTGGAAATGTTCCTTGGATATTGGATGATTAATTTTAAAATTTTAATGATAAGTAGAGTGTTGTTTTATATAATTAAATAATCAGTAAATTAATAGAGAAATATATTTTATATATCTCTAAAGCTTCTGTTCATAAGATGTATGTATAGTGTACAAAAGTAATATATTTTTACGGATGATTTGTATGGAATGATAAATTTTTGCGTTGTTGAACGAAATTATGAATTTCTTTGGTAACATATTATTTTATGTAATTAATGATATGTAAAGAAATATATTTTTAAAGTTTCTGTCTGTATATGGTGTACAAAAGTTGATACAAAAAAAAAAATCAATGAAAATAAAGAAATCAATATGTAAAAATGTTCATTGTAACTTATTTTTCAAATTATAAGCAATTTAATTTTACATTTATTATTTTTACATTTTACAGACGAAATATGATGAAGAACTTTCTTCACTTTCGCCATATTGCTTCTAATGCAAAATTTAAATTCGTTTCTTTCTTTCTATGATATATATTTATATATCATATAAATTATAAAAATATATAAATAACTTATAAATAAATGTCCTGTAATTGGTGATAAATTAGATATCGAGTGATTTTACGTGAAAAAATTGATGTCGGAAATTATTTTATATGAGGCTTCATTTTCGAGTTAGAGGAAATTTCTTGTATATCATACAATATTCCATGTATCACATACAGATCAATTGTGAAAATAAATTATATTTATATAATTTATAAAGATATATTATATTTTAAATAAATGTTTCCTTTATTGCATGAAAGTGTTTTATATGTGAAATATAGTAAAAAATTAAAACTTTTTATAAATATTGGCTAATTTGATAGATTACAATTTTTTCAAAAATTTTAAAAATGTATAAAACGTTTGTTTATATATTTTTAAAATTTTTGTATATATATATTATATATATATATATATTATATTTTGTATATATATATACAATTATTTTTTATATATATATATATAAAATATATATATATATACAATTTATAACTAAATAGAAAATATTTGTATATTTGTATATATAAAATATTTGTATATATATTTCTATGAATAATGTAATATATATGAATTATACAAATTGTATAAATATATAATATCATATAATTATAATATGAATTTATACATTTGTACTTTTTTTCAAAAGTTAATTTTTTTAAATTAAAAAAAAAATGTATATTTTAAATTTAATTAATTATTTACGTAAGAATGTAAATTGATTAAATAATTAAAATATTTTAGATTATGTATTTTAAATCTAACATTTTATAATCTAACATTTTTTTAAAAATTTTATTCTTGTTCTATTATTCTATTCTTATTCTATACATACTCAATTGATGCAACTATAAAATGTAAAAAATTGCACTTAATTTACTTGAAAATTCTCTTTAAACCATGTTTCTTTCTCTCAATGTTCCTCTTGTATTTCTCTCTATTTCTTAATTGTAACTTCTTGCAATTATACAAATCATCTTATATTATATATTTTGTTATTTATCATCTAATGTTTTTTTATATATTTTTTATTATTTTAATTAGTACTAAAAAAACAGTTTTTAAAAATTATAAAAATTAATATTATGTTTTTCTAAACTTTTATTTTCTATTCCTTTGTAAAATAAATTTCCATTTTTAATTCTCTTTTAGCTTTATAATTCAATACTTTATAAATATTTCTTCAAAAACTTATCTTACATTGTATTTAACAAAATTTTTATATATAATTTAAAAAAATTATAAAAAAAATTAAATTAAAATGTGATTAATAAATAATAATTTTAAATTAATAAAAAAATTAATTAATTGATATAAAGGAGCTAGGATTGAATAAAAAAGTGTGAAATTATTTACTTATTTTTATATATAATTTTTTTATATTAATTCTATATATAATATATTTCTATATATAATATTATATATATTTTTAATAATAATTCTTTCTCATATAAATTATTAAATTAAATTTCACTTATTAATCAGTATTTTTAATTAGTTATATTAACATATAATATAACAAATTTTTCATTAGTATAAAAATAATACTTCCTTTATTATCGATAATGTAAATTACAAATTTTCTACAGATGTCACCTTTGTACAATCGATTTGGATGTTCGGTCGGTAAGAAAGAAAATATATATGCATCTCAATTTCGAAAATCAAATATTTTAAGAAAATGCATACATAATCTAATGAATTATAATTATATTTAAAACATTTAATTTCTTTTTTTGACAAAGTTCATTTATATCATCTCACCTATTAAAATAGTAATTACTTAAATAGATATTAATATATATATATAATTACATAATAAAGTTTCTATATTATCTTTATTTATATTTATATTTTATAAGAAAATATGAAACTTATAAACTATAAAATTTAAAAATTCATAATTATATAACAATAATAAAAAACAATAATAAAAAATTGTTGATTGTTCTAATTCATTTTCAAATGATTCGATATCTATAGAACGTAAAAATTTTGATAATTCAATGGCAAGTAGAATGATTTAAACAAAAAAAAAAAACAAACAATAAACGTTTGTATCGTATATGAATAGTACTTTAGAATTTTTACAACGATAAGATACGAAGAAACTTTAACCGATCGACTGAATTTAAAAAAAACGCTATGGCGATAACGATCGTTTTGCGCAGATTCAACCACTGCGGTAGTTAAATCAACAATCGATGATGGCCAAACAGTATTATCGAAACAACGAAAAGAAGTATTATAAAAAAATAAACAATACCAAACATGGAGATGTCACGTAACACGATAACACAATAAACGAACCAAAAAGCGATTCTACAATCGCCGTGTTACATCAATGTGCCCATTGACATAACCTCAAAGGCAACGTGATCATTGTATCCTATAAGAAAAACTACCGTTGTTTCGGCGAAAACACGGCCCTGTCGAGAAGGTTCTCGTCGCAAACGACGCAATGCCACGGAAAAAGTCAACGAAACTTGCGCAGGAGCTGGCAGCAAAGTCAAGAGCCCTCGCAGTTGACACATGTCAAGCGTGCAGTGCAACTCGAAAAAACGTCGGGACGACCAACAACACACAATTACGAATACGGATGTAAAATCGACACTCACCGCTGTGTCCGGTGTTACTCGACGACTGACCCATTATTCACACGCCAACAGCGATGGCAAGCACAAGATAAAGCACACGGCGATCGCGGCTGGCTCACGTGAAAAAGCGGATGCATGAGTGCGCGAAAGATCGACACATTTTTCGAAAAATACTATCACATCGTGTACCCGCAGTGTCGCTACGACAGAGACGGACGGCCGCTTCGAAGCAACGAGGTGATTGGCCCGTGGACCGATGCGCATGCGCGACCCGCGGAATTTTGAATTCATCCTTATTATCTCCTTGTTTCCACGGATTCTGATAATTTCTCATCGAGACCGTCTACGGAATATCACTGTTTCTAAGCAGCTCATCGCATATAAAGTAAGTACAATGAATATCTCTAACAATAAATAATTATATTTTATTTAAATTCAGAGATTAATTAGATATCTATTTCAATAATTTTGATATTTATATTAAATAATTTTAATATTATTTTTATACAAGTAATCAAAAATTTTGATAAATATATAATTTATACAAATATATAATATATTGTATATATAATTTTTAGTAATTTAAAAATTGAAACATACTAAAATTTACATATTTATATTAAAAATTCTTTAATATAAATTATAAATATTTAAACGTATATAATAACAAAATATATAAAAAAATTATTTAATAACTTTTATTATTCTTTATAAAATCACTATCAAAATATATTAGTATAATAAAATTTCCCTTGAGATACTTTGTTATGTAGTCACTTAATATCACTGCATGAATTATGTCTTAGTCAATAGCCTGGCGATGCGATGAACAAGATATTCTCTATTATTTATATATCACATCTGCCCTAATTTTACTGTTTTCTCACATGTTTATTAAAATTTAATAAAATATGGATACTATAAATCTTTTTACAAAATAACATTTCTAGTAATTAATATTAATTTTTTTTAATTAATATTAATTATATTTATTAAATTTCTTATTTTTTTATAAAAATTTCTTTTATAATAAATATTCTCCTATTATTATTAAATTAAAAAAATCTTCAAAAATTTTATTCATAGATAAATTTAAAAAAGTTTCATTAATTTTAAAATCTTAAAAATTTTATATAATAATTTATGTTAAATTTTCGTGTCTACTTAATCTACTTTTTTATACTTAATCTTAAAGTAATCTTAAATCATCTAATTGTTATTATAATTATATCTATAAGTTTCAAAAAAATTTAATAATTTTGAAATTTTTTAAAAATCTTCAAAAATTTTATTTACACAAATTTAAACAAATTATCGCATCTCCGATACGATTTTAAAAATTTCACTTACAATTAAATGTCACACGTTCCATTTGCGAACAAAATTCGGTTCGCTAAAAGCATAATCAAAATCACATTAACCATCCTTCTCAATTAATATTATTTCCCACGATACATATTATGCAAATACACGTTTCCAATTAGTATCTACACACCTGGATGAGCCATACTACATTCCCCATCCCGATCACCGACACGAATATTCAAACGCCCATTTTGCTAAAACGAGGCACCAAAATCTACGACAAGTCGATACCTTTCTACGTGAGATATCCACAAACGTAATCGCCATAATACGCACGCATCTACTGCGCCTATAATTCGCGTGTGCCAAGCTAGCATAAACAGAATCACGCAATTACCAACTGTGTTTCAGCCTATGAAGCGTCCAACGGTATCAGCTGGGTCGATTCGGCAAAAGCGGCTCGAGGAAAGAAAAACGAACGAGAAACTGCTGTTTGAAACTGTTTTTTCCAAGCTATCGCGGAAGATCATCGATCGGCGTGGAATAAACGCGGAATAAAAGTGCGGATCGACGACGTTGGAAATCATCGCCTTGGTAACCACCGACAAAACACACTTGGTCGTGGAGAGTTGGTCGTGGACACATTGCGTGGTCGAGGAACACCACGATATCTCGAGGATTCTCTCTATATATGGATTTTTCGGTCAGATTCGATTCACGTCTAGGAAGACGTTGATCTCTCGACATCGGTTTTTTTCTTCTGTCTGACATGACAATTCTGGAGGAACTCGACTCGAGGCCTCGGGCATTCAGCAGCTGACGGCAACCAGGCGATCGTACATCCGGGGAAAAGCGCTCAACGCTTGGCCAAAGATGGATCCCCGACTCTTCTGGATCGTCTGTTTCGGTTTGATCGCGATCCTCGTTTCGAAAGGTCAGTCTTTTTAAATTAAAATGTAGATTAATTAGAATAGAGTGCTGTTGTATGGTATTTTAGATTGTGGAAAAGTATTAAAAAAAAAAAAAAAAATAGCTTAGAATATAGAATAGTAAAATAATTAATTAAAATAATTTTTGGATATTATTTTGAGTATAAATTAAGTGTAGAATAGTTTTTTGATAAGTATTGTATATTGTATAATATTGTAGATTATGAATTAGTTTCATAAACAAAAATGTAAGACTAATTAGTGTAGAATAATTTTTTGACGTTTATATTAATATTTTGGGTAGATTAATTAATAATAGTTATTATTAACATTTTAGATTGAAAAATAAATTAATTAATATAAAATAATTTTTGGATGTTATAAAGTATTTTAGACTGTGAATCAATTTTTTAAATAAAAATAATTAGCGTAAAATAATACTTATTAAACAAATTTTTTAAACGAAAATAGACTAATTAACGTAAAATATTTTCAGATCTTATATATTTTGAATGTAGATTAATTAGTGTAGACTTAATTAGAGAGTAGTTTTTGAGTGTTGTTTGAATTAGTTTTTTAAACGAAAATGTAGGCTAATTAGTACAGAATTATCAGTGCATAGTTATCAGTGCATAGTGTTTTAGATTGTAGATCATTTTTTTAAACAAAAATGTAATTGAACAAAAATTTAGATTGAATGTTTATTCATGAATATTATCTAATTGATCAAAATATTAAATTTACATTATTTTTTATTTTTTGAAAATAATAAAAAATAGATGCAATAACTTTTTATTAAATTAATACAAATTACACATTCAATTATTCTTATTATTATTCTTATTATATTATTATTATCTTGAAATATAATCATTTATGTACATTAGATATTATGACAAAGTTGTTTTTAACGACTATTAAAATACAAAAAAATAGAAAAATTTATAAAATATTCATTGTAACATTTTGATAATTATATGATAATATATAATTAACTTAAAGTTGTATAAATTCTCTTTTTAATTTGATATTATTCTTTTTAATATTATGATATCTAAAGAGATTATCTATAATTCACTCTCTTTAACTATTTAAATAATTGAATAATAAAATAATAAATTTCTTGCATCAATATAATAAATTTAAAATATATAAAATAATAAATTTTAAATTTTATATCACATCTTCTTTACCAAAAAATATGTTTCTATTAATTATAATTAATAAAAAAAATATCTTGAAAAAAATTTTAGTTTTAAAAAATTAATGAAAAATATCTATTTATATTTGAATATATTGAAGTATCATAATTCCAATTATATAATATTTAATATAATTAAGCCATCATTACATTCTTAACATAATTATGTTCATAAGATATAAATTTGCATAATTATTCATTTATAATAATTAGTAAATATTTATAGATAATTGAACAACTGAATAATAGTAAATTTTATTATTATAGATTTTATTATTGTAGTATCTATTGATTGTGGTTTATTGAATCAAAATGATTTGTTATTTCATTCTAAAGAGTTTAATTTAAAATCAATTTCTATGTATCTTAAATTTTTTATTAAGAATAGATAAATATAATTATTATTAATTTTTCTATATTTTTTATAACATTTAATCACATCTATGATATGAATTTGATTTATTTAATAAAAAAAAAAAAGAAATTTAATTACAAGTCTAACTTTCTGTTCTTCAATAAAAAAGAATCAATAAATACTAATTATGTATAATATTTCAACACTTTGCATTTGACACAGTGAATAGCTAAGACTCTTTTAAGTAGCTACTAAATAAATAAGGCAAGATATTAAAAATTCGTTTGAAGATAGTTGAAGTTAGTTTATGTAGAATTGTGTGTTAGATATACAGCCTCTGGCCACTACTACTGTGTAATAAATTCAAAATCTTCAATATTTCTTTTCTTCCTTTTTTTCATAAAATTGAAATTTAATAACATATAGGTGTAGATATTAATCATTATTTTTGTTTTATAGATTTCATAAAAAAAATTCAATATTTAATATATAATATTATATAATAATGTATTTGATACATATAATAATGTATTTGATCCCCAATACAAGAAAGACTTATTTAAGTTATGTACAATTTATAAAATTTTTAATTAATTTCACTTAATTTAAGAGTATAGATAATAATCTTATAGTAAATATTAAAATATATAAAATATATTTTATGCGAAGGTAATTGTATATATCTAATTGTAATATCTTAAAAAGTTTTTTATTATTTTTGCAAAAATTTTCTAATAAGAAATTTTTTATTACAATAATTAATGACTAATAAATACAAAAGAATGCAAATAATAATAAGTTATTCACAATAATTTTAAATTATGTACAATTGATTGTACATAACTAGAAACAATTTGTTGTAAAAAATTGAAATTTTTGTATATGATCATGGATCAATATTGTAGTTTTATATAATAGATAAAAACAATAAAAAATAGAATGAAGAGGTGGAAGAGACAATGTGATCGTATCTTGAGGTGAATAATCAGAATCCTGAAATCAATGGGATAGCTTTAGAATGTGTTGAATAGTGTTGAATTTACGGTCCTCCTATCTTTCAAAAAAATTCCATGAGAAATTAAAAAAGACGAAGATGGAAAATCTACACGACAGAATCTGAAACGTGAAGATTTCTGAATAAGGAAAAAAATCATCAGTAAAATATTTCATTTCAGATTTTCTCTCAATTTCATAAGTTTTAGATGAAAATTCTCAAGTCTAACATTTTAAATTCTAATATTTAAACTTTTAATATTTGAAAAAATTAATTATAAGGTGAAGAAGAAATTCTTAAGATAGAGAATAATTCGATTGGATTACAATTAGTTTTCAATTGCTCAAAAATTTTTTTTGATTAAAAATCAACATAAATTGAATTCTTTCTTAGTTTTTTACTTTCTATTTTCGCAAATTATACAAAAGATTCAATGAAAAAGTAATATAATTTTATTTCTTCATAAAAAAACGAAATAATTACAGGAAATGATGTATAAGACGAGCATTTATCTAGAAAATTTTATTAAATTACAATTTTTAAATATATATGAGTATATAATAAAATATGCAGTAAAATCCTTTAATATCTTAAAGTACAAGAATCGTTCTATTTTTTCTTCAAATTCCTCGTGTAATAATTTTAGAATTTTTAATATCTTGTCTATGATATTCAAATTCTCGTCTTTCAATCTCAACATAATCTTTAAATATTATAAAAAAAATTTTAGCATATAATTGAAAATAAAAAGTCAAAAAAAATTATTCTTTCTAAATTACAACTTTCTCGAATTAAATTATCTATCATTTGTACTACTTTTTCTTCAAATTTCTCGTAATAATTTTAGAATTTTTAATATCCTGTCTACGATATTTTTATCTTTCAATCTCAACATAATCTTTAAATATTATAAAAAAAATTTTAGCATATAATTGAAAATAAAAAATCAAAAAAATCATTATTTTTAAATTATAATTTTTAATTAAATTATTTATTATTTGAACTTTTACTCCAAATTCCTCATGTATATAATAATTTTAGAAGTTTTAATATCCTACGATAAGTTTAATATTTAAGTTTTAATATCTACGATATTCAAATTCTCATCTTTCAATCTTGTTTCAACACGATTTTGCTTTAAATATAAGAAAAATTTTAGCATGTAATTGAAAATAAAAAGTCTAAAAAGAAAAATCATTATTTAATATTTTTTGATATTAAATTCAATTTGAGAAATATTGAATTGCAAAAATTAAATTGAACAATTTTATCGAAATTAATTATTTATTTTTTTAAAACTTATATATTTATATATTGATCCATTTTTTGAAAAATTATATATTTTAAAACGAAATTTAAAAATTTTTAAAAAGTGGAGTTGAAAATTCTATATTTTGTACATAAAAAATATATGATTTTTTAAAAAATGGAATTAATCAGTTATATAATTAAATATATAAATTTTTATTTTTTAAAAAAATAATTAATTTCGTTGAAATTAATTAATTAATTGAAATTAATTAGTTTGTTTCTTACTTATCCAATATTTTTCAAGTTCATTTAAAATATTAAAGAATCATTTTTTCTCTTTCTTTTTCAAATAAATCATTAAAAAAAATTTTGAAATAAAAAAAAAAATATTAAAAAGTGAAAATATTAAAAAAAAATATTAAAAAGTGAAATACTTCCATAAATAACATATTTCTGAAAATAATATTTCATTTAAAATTCAAATCAAATATTATTTGTAAACATTATTTTATTAAATGCTTAAATCACAAGCAAATTTACTATTTATCAAATAAAAAGTATAATATATATATTATAAAAAATAAAAGATATAAATTTCAACACAAAAATGAAAAATCTTATATTTAATTCTTATAAGTATACATTAATTTTATTTGAAATATAATTTTTTTTGTATTTATAAAAATATTTATAATAATACTTAAAAAAATACTTGAAAAATATTTTTATATGTATCATTTCAAAAAAAAGTTAAGATAGAAATAAAGAAATATTCTATTTTAAAAAATACTTCTCCTAGCTCTGTTAGCAAAAATAGAAAAATATCATATCATTATGAAAATAATAAATTATAAAAATATAATTATTAATTTATATATCATCATCAATGCTCACACGAATTTATTAATATCAAAAATAAATAATAATGATATACATTTTAAACAATTATATAAGACTATACAAATAATATAATTATATGATACATACAATGTATCAATCAATACAATTAAATGTGATTTCTCGTGGCACAAATACAAATATGATGCGAACGAGTTAAAATTTTTTAGATCGCTGGATAATTTACTTTGGCTTTAATGTATTAGGATGGGCCATCGATTGTTTCAAATGCGTCTCGATCGACGGCGACAATAAGCCCTGCGATGATCCGTTTCACAACAACGGAAGCCTCGCCTTCTTAGAGTCACCTTGCTTGGGAGGTCGCAAAGGGCGCGATGGTCTTTTCCCCGCGACTGCGTGCATCAAAATAGCGGGCATATATGGTAAAACTTTCCTCTTTTTTGTAATAACGAGTGGCCCTTAACCCTCTTTCGCTGCTGTCTATTCAACGAATACACTATATGCTTTCCGGTATAGTATCTGCTACTTGTTTACGGAGATTTCACCGGTGGAAAGTTAATACATTGCTCGAAAGAATCAACGGATTCAATCGTGAATGAATAATTTCGAGAAATTTCGCAAAGTGTGTTTGTTAATTAGAGTGTTTCGAAAACGATAAAGATAAGTACTTTATAAACGGTAAAAATTCTATTATAAATTTCTAATAGAAAGAAATTGCTTTTTTTCACAGGTTTTATGTACAATACTTTTTTCTTTTGTTTAATTTTTATTATTTTTATTATATTATTAATTAAAATTAATTAAAATTAATTATAATATTTTTTCTTTAGTCTTATATCATAAATTTATTGTTATTTTAAAATGAATACATAAATATGTAAATTATGAATTGATACCAATGATGAATTTTTTATATTCTATTGCAAATTCCCAATTTAAATTTCTTCCTTTAAAATTATATTTTAAAAAAAACCCATATATATTGAAAATAAATAAAAAAGTTTTAAATGTTCGTATTATCTTGAAAAATTTCTCTAAAATTCAGATTTAAATATTACTACAGAAAACAACTATTGATTACTATTGAAAGTCATAAATAACAAAAAAGAATTTTATTTCTATATTTAACTTTTATATATTGAGATAATTTTGGAAATGTATTAACAAATATATAAAATATTAAAATAATCAGCAGATTAACGTTTAAAATAAATTCAGAAAATTATGTCTATAAAATTTCGAAAATAGAAATCAAGAAAAATATTTTTATTTAAATAATTTTAAAATTATTTTATTTAGCATTATTTAACTGACATTTAATGTCATTATTTATATTATTACTAAATATTATTAATAAATTATAATATTATCATTCATATTATTATATTATTTTATTTTACTTTAATTAAGATTTAATTACATTATTTATATTATTTAAAATTATATTTAAATATATAATGCAGCTACATTAATTTTTTATTAGTAATTAATATTTTTTCCCTGTTACTACTACTTTTAATTAAAAAAAAAAAAAAATACACGAAAACAATATATATAAAATTTCATCTACATAAAGTTTTAAATTCTCTTCCACAGAATACAGAATTAAAACAAAAAGTAAATAAATATATTTGTACAAATATCAACTCAGATAAAATTTCAATCCTTTCACATTTCTTCGGTTTTGCGGCACGTTGAAATATTGTAAATAGAAAAATACATATAAATATTTATAATTAACGTGTTATTTACTAGATGAGTCCGGGATCTCTTTGACGGTGAGAAGCTGCGCGCTGGACAGCGGAACTCTAACGACCGACTCCGAAATCATAAGAATGTCTCATTGTGGAGGGTTCTACTTCGACGACAAGTAAGTATAGAAACATACGAAAAGAAATGTAATTTGAGCTTGTTTTTCTTTGTGCCACAGCGCTAATTGCAAATGCTACATCGTTTGAAAATTGACCCTTATTATAGTTGGCACGAGGTTGTGACGATTGAAAGAAAGAAAGAAAGAAGAAAAAGAAAATATAAGTAGCTACGTCTATATACGTTTATTTTAATTTGAATTGATACGTTTATTGTAATTTGAATTTAATTGATCAATAATCAAATTTGTTTGTCAGAGAGAATACATGTTTCAATTAAAACGAATTTTATTTATATATTGCAATTGCAGAAGAATTTCGAATTTTTTAACTTTGTTTTTAATGTATTGAGAAGTATAATGAAGTAAATCGATTTCTTAATATTTTTTATAAAATAATATTTTGTAATATTATATGAATTCAATGAAATAGGTCAATTTGTAAATATAATAGAATGTTGATTATCCACATTATCCACATGAATTTCAATTATCCACATTTATTAATAATGCAATAATCCATTATCCAAACGCAATAACAAATATGTATTTAATTATATTTATTAACATATTATTATATTATATTAATATATATATTTAAATTACAGTATATCTGAAAATGTTTCTAAGAAATGTATTTTAGATATCTAAAAATGATTAATTTATTTTTTATAATGCATTTCTTTTATGAAATGTTTTCTGATAAACGTCTATTTAAGAATTGTTCAATTTTCAATTATTTCATCACAAATTTGATTCTTCGTGATCGATTATTTAAAAAATTGCTTATCCGAAAAAATTTCTTTTCAATTAATTCTTTAAAACTGTAATATCGTTTTAATAACTTTTAATTCAATTTTAATTGCAAAAAATCAATTAAAATCTAATTAATTATTAGATAGAATGTTTATGAAACATAAGATTTATGAAAATTTCAAAAATATAAAAATTTTTAAAATATTCAAAACACAATATCTATGCATTATATTTATAGAATATAAAGAATACAAATTTTTATAATACATTTTCTTTAGTTATAAAAATTAAATTTTTCATAAATATCTGAATTTTGTTTGTTGTAAATTTTCTAAACAAAATAAAAAATTATTGTTGCAGCAAAATAAAAAATACTAGAAAGAAATAAACAATTTAAGTAGTATTATTAATATTATATTTATCACATTAACCCAATTACACTTTATTTTCATTGTAAAATTTTGTAGATAATTAAATCTTTTAAAAAAAATACATTAATTAACATTAGAGCATTTTAAATGAAAAAAATATTTTTTTTAAAAGCAGTTATTAATAAATATAAATATTATTATTTTTTAAATTATTATTGAAACCAGACTTTTGAAACGATTTCATTTAATTGACCTATTTTTTGAAGTTATGAAAAAATATATTCAGCATAAAATAAAGCTACAATTTAAATCCAACATAATATTTATAACTTTCATAACAATATATTTAATATATAATATTTATAATTAAAAATTAAATTATATATTCATTATATATTTAATATATCATATTATATATTATATTCCAAAAAAATCATTCAAAATTCGATTACAATATAAATTTTTTCTCAAAAGAAATGATTATAGACTTCATATAAATCTTTATAAGCTGCAACAATGAAACTTTTGCTAACGTATAAATATATCCTTAGCTCAAAAAAATAGATTTTCCTAAGTTCGATTAAAATTGCATATTTCATTAATTTTTAGTTAAAAAGTTATTTGAATAAATTGCCAAAATGAAACAAAATTTAATAAAATTCCTATTTCAAACTACATAATTCATTTTTAATAATGTATAAAAATTCTAACAATATATAGAACTTAATGTTCTAACTTTAAATTATGATTTTTAGATATGTTCGAGGTTGTGTACAATCATGCAACGATGCAGATGCCTGCAATGGATCTACGCGGCAAGCAATTTCACTCATACTTTTAACTCTATCGATTTTTCTTAAACTAATTTGCATCACGTGAAACTAAACTAAGTAACATCACGTGTTAAATAAACGATAGACAATTGTATATATACAAAAAAGAAACGATTACCTGTATAATATTAAATTGTCCCAAAAATTCTTTTTGTTATTTGAATAATTTTAATGATCATGACAATCTAATTTATTTTTCATTTATAATTTTTTAAAAATAAAGATATTTTCTTGTTAAATATTTTAAATTCTTTTGTAAAAATTATTAATTAATATTAACAAGTTATAAATTTATCAGATTATAGATTACTTTTATAATTACACGTTAAATGAAATAATGATTTGATGATAAAAAAAATTGATTCTTTCAATGATATTTAAAATTATTATCTCGAATAAATTAACAAATTAGAAGTTTATTAGATTATATATTATTCTTTTACGATTATAATACATCAAATAAAATAATCAAATGAATTGATTATCCATAAAAAAATTTATTATTTTAATAACATTGAAAATCATCTCGAGTATTTCAAATATCTAAGTCAAAATTATTGTGAAAATAGAATAAAATCATTATTATAAATTAAAATGGTGGATGTTTCAGAAAAATTTAATTCTGACATTTTGTATATAAGATATATAAAATTTTATAAATGATAAAATTTTATTAAAATATGTAAGTATGATCCACCTCGATCACTATTTTAGAAAAATGAAATAATGACGGTTTTAAAAAAATAGATAATAATAAAAAAATGAAAAGAAGTTTTGGGGCAATTTAAGAGGAAAACTTCGAATTTAAATCAGTAATTGACCAATTTAGTGGACCAAAGATAAAAGAAAATGTAATATCTCGTGTGAAATATCGAAAGCATTTGTTTACATTCGTTCGTAAATTATTGCATTTATTCAATATATTAAATGAAAATTTAGTATAATAAAAGGAATTTAAAGGTCCAAATATATATGAAGAAAAAATTATTTGATTTATGAAGAGAAAAATATAGAGAATCACTGTTTGATACTATTTGATAGTTTGCAGAATAGAAAGAGCAAGAACTGCCATTATAATTATATAATGTAATTATTGTTTTATTAATATTCATGCATAGAATGTGTCATTTGTGACTATAGTTATTTGCTTAAGAATACAATCGAATTATATATATTACATATATTACATATATGGAATTGTCGCAGATTGTATAGAATATCCAATAAAAGGAATTTTAAATTATAAATTTATGTATAATTTTATTAAAATATTCATAAAACATAAAGAAATATTTATTCTTAAACATAGATAAAAAAATATTTTATTTTAAAAAAAAATTTCGTGATTTTGAAAATTATGAAAATTATATTATCATTATGAAGTATTTTTACAAAAAAATTAAAATTGAAACAATTTACATCCTTAGAAATTTATAATCTCTGCTTTTTAGAAAAATATTTTATTTTATTCAATAATATTATTTAATCTTATATTAATAATTAATTATAAATTAAATATCATTATTTAATTTAAATCTCTTATTTTATTATTAATTTATTAATATTTATTATTAATAAAGAAACTTATATATTTTTTTTTAATTATAAAAAAAATAAATCAGTTAAAATTTCTATGTACAGAAATAAATATATATATAATATATAATAAATATACTATTAAATTTGCAAATATTAAAAAAAAAAATTAATAGTCTATACTAACCTAAATCCAAATTTTAAATGACATCATAACGAAATTAAATTAAACAAAAAGAAAACAAGAATGATATTCAAAGAAGAAGTTAGCATTCTATTTTCACTCCAAACTTTGTATTTTTTCTTTTCAGTTCAAAGTCGAGTTCAGAGTAAATTCAAGAGTATAAAGACGCTCGTTTTAATTGATCTTTGCTATATGTACGTTGAAAAAATGTCACGAAATCTGCAAGAAATCAAAAGAAAGAAAAAAAAAAAACAAAAAACTCGAGAATAAAAATTCTCTGAATTTATCCAAAATCGAATTATTCTTAGAGAGTGCATGAAGTACAAAATTCGATTCGATGTGAAACGTGACAGGAAAATCAAAGAAATTTGATAGAAGCTATGTAAATGAGATAGGAATTATCTCAAAAAATGAAAAATCGTATGTCAAATGTAACCCAAGAATTCGTCGAGTTTTTCTCGCGAATTACTTGCTGGCTATGGGAGACCATCGAAAAGTTATTCGACATCATTTTCGATTTCTTGGCAAGGATAATCGAGCTGATACTAGCGGTGATGAACCTGATTTTCCAGGTGATCTGTTTCCTAAGGGACCTAGGCATCGAATCCATGCAAACATTCGTGAACGTCTTTCGAGGGATTGTTAGAGTCATTAGCAATATCACTTGCGAAGAAGTCGAGGATTTTGCCTCTGCCTGCATTGTTGTTTTGCTTTGGATCGCGGCATTTAAGATCGCCAAGAATTTAATAAAAGTAGGAATATTACATATTTGAAAATTTTTTATTTATCATTTTCAGAATTTTTATTAATATTTTTTTATTTTTTAATATTTCGAGAGTTATATTCTAATTATAATTTTAATAACCTATAAAATATCGAATAAAATAATTATATCTGACGTATTTTCTTATAACTTTAACGTTTGATTTAAACAAATTATTCCAATAACCGGTTTTCTCAATTATTTTGAAGACTTTAATATATATTTATCTGATGATGAATTACATTCTTCATGTTTATCGAATGTTCTTCTCATTTTCATTATCATGTTTTATATATGATTTTTCATTTTAATTAATAAATGTACAGTGCCACATAAAAATATTGAGATATTAATTTCTCCAATAACGTTTTTCTCTAAAAAGATTGATAAAAAAAAAAAGATTACAAATAAGATATCAAATTGTATGATTATTTATATTGTAAAATAATATTCCAATATACTTAATTTCGTTAAAAACAATGTTTTTTATGTATTTTTGTAAATGTAATTTTTATGTATTTTTTATTATTTATTTTTATAATACAGCTATCTAATAATAATAAAAATATATTTATACTTTGATATATTTTATCATATATTTAATTTTAATAAAAAATTAAAAAGAAACTCTTACATTTTAGAGATTTGCGAAAAACGTTACTGAAAAAATTGGAATGCCTCAATACATTTGTTTTGCACTTTATATATATAAAATTTTGAACTTTAACACTTTGAAAGCTTAAAGGATCGTTCATTACAACGGTCTACTGTACACTAATCAAAATTGTTATTGATTCACATGATAGTTCCAATGTCATACATATCTCCCAGAACTCTCGAATAGCTGCGTTCCTTAACCCAGGAAACCCGGATTCGAATGAACTAGAGCTAGGAGTTTGTCCGGCGCAAAGAAGAACAGGGAGAAGGATGAATCGACGTTATGGCAAACGACCTCGAGGTGATCCTATACTCGACGATTAGAATAAAAGAAATTACAAGGTAAAGATTTAGAAAAAAAGAAAAAAAAAAAATTAAATAAATTTTAATGTAGAATCGTGCATTGATAAATTATATTAAAATAATTTTTTTTTATATCAAAAAATTTACTTTTTTTGTTATATTAACATTGTTAGAAAACGTAAAAATTAATTTTATGTTAATAAATTAAATTATTATCTCACAGATTTAAAAAGGAGTGATTATCATCTAACACATGCAGTGAATAAAATCTATACCAAGAAAGCTATAAAAAATAAAATATATATTTCCTTATAAATATTATTTCTTATATTTATCATTACATCATACACTTTTCATTCGTAAAAATTGGTACAGAATTCTGACGGACGCTGCCAGAAAAGTTAAGTTCTCTATTTACAAAAATATTTTGTATAAAATAACAATGTGTAAACTCGTATATCAAATACAAAATTACACTTTGTAATTTGTGTTCTATTATATATACATAATTAAATATAAATCTTTAACAAATATCAATTTGTAAAAGAGAGATATATAAAAAAAATTTTCATTACAAATTATTTTCTATTTCTTTTGTTGAATAAAAAAATATATTCATAATAGTTTATCTCTTCTTTTACACATTGATAGATAAAGTCTCGCTAGTAATCTATCGCTTGTTCGATAACTGCAAAAACGCAATTTGATTATAAATAATTTCGTCGAAATTCTTTTGTAACGAGATTAGATAATACTTTGCTTACGTCAATTTATCCTAATTCAATTTTAACGATATTTTTAAATAATAGTATTAATTTAATAGTATTAATTTAGTTTTTTCAGTCATTTACAACAGTAATAACCAATTTATGTTCTGGCCAAGAAAATGTCTTTGGCAACTGAATCTATAATATAAATAAAAAATAAGTAACTTTAATTATAATATATATATTATATATATATAAAAATATTTTGATACATTATTTTACTAAATTAGTATTATTAATTACCTGATTTGGTGAATTTAAAATTTGAAACTCTTGAGCCATCTTTTCAGATAAATCTTCTGGAAGCAGAACTTGTAACCATGGTCCTTGAACTACATATGGTTTTTCCCTAGAAACTAGAGTTCCAGTAACTGAAGGTGCAACTATTGTAATTGCAGTATGAGATAATATTGATTTAAATGTAAAATGCCTTCCATGCATGACTCGGCCTCTATACAAAAAATCATATTTACATAAATATATATATATATATATATATGATAATAAGATTATTGAAATAATATTAAAAAATATTTACTTTATTGCTAATGGTAATAAAGATCCAGCTTCAAGATTAAAAGTCAAATGAAGACCTGGTAAAACTTTAATAAAATTTTCATTTGGTAAGTTTGTATCTTGTTCACAAGGAGACAATCTTTCCGATTTTATTATTGGTTTTATATCTTCATCTTCCTCATCTGATTCGTTTCTTGTCTCTCTATATTTTTCTGTACTCTTATCATTATTTACTTGGACCCACCTATAAATTATGTATAATATTTAATATAATAAATATTTTATATTTTAATTTTTCATGAATTTTTAAATGAATGAAAGACATTTACCAACATTTTGCAGATACACCACTTAAATTAGAACCCTCTTTTTCTATACCAGTTTGTATTTTTTCTGCTATAGAAGGATCATCTTCCATAATAGAATACATTCTTCTCATGTCTGTCACTAACCATGGTCCACAACCACGACTAGATTTTAATAAATTTACAAGACCTAGACCATTCCAGTGTTGTGCAGCTTGTAGTTCTTCAGAAGTAACTCCTACAATTTGAACAAATGAAACCTGTAACATTGTACATGGACCATTAAAAATATTTTATTCTGATTTCATTATTTGAAAATTAAGTGACTTTTATTCAAAATTAATATTAAAAGAACTTACATCTCCATGTGGTGTAGATATGGATGCTGGTAACTGTGGATCTTTGCCCATTAAAATTTGTGTAATACGACCATTGCCATTATCCAGAGGTGCATGCCACGAGACATGGTCTCCCGGCAACAGCATGTTACCAGAATTAAAAACATATTTTGCTAATTGTTGCATTACATTTGCTGGCCAAGTGGGAGGAGTCATTTCATTTCTTTCTCTGACTAATCTAAAGGTTAATTCAAATCCAAAGCCACTAGCACGACCGGGACCACTTTTTGGATGTATTCGTCCATCTCCATGTAAATCCGATAAACCCAAACTTTAATTAAGAAATTTTATTATGATATTGTTCTAAGAAGAAAATAACTAAAGTAAAATATTAAAAATTTAAAATTAAAGAATGATAATAAATAATTGAAATATTGAGATTCTTGCTAGATAGACAAACAAAGACTTTTGATAGAACCAAAATAATTCTAAACTCTCTAATCTACAAAAAATAGATTTAATCAATGATGAAACATATTTAGATATGACAGACAGAAAAAGGTAAAATCCACGAATCTATTTCCGATGCGTCGCGCTTCAAACAACTTTATCTTCCTGTACCCTATACTTTCTATATATAGAAAAAGAGGGAACTATTGGAACAGCTGCTTCAGACTGAAGAAGGAAGGGTCACCCATTGAAAATGAGAAAAAACAAATGAACACCCTTTCGCGGTAGACCATTCGTCATTCGGCGCCTAGTTTTTAATGAGGAATTCCTGAAACGAGCATTCATTTATCTTTCCACAATGTGAATTGTTAAATACAGCAAGTTGTATACTATATTTTAATAATTTTTAATAACTTAGATTAATTAAATAACATAATAATACAACAAAAAAGATATTATTTTAAATTTTTATCGAAATATATGAGAAAGTAATAAAAAACCGCTAATATTTTTGAAGATCATGTTTAATATAGATTTAATGTATCAAAACGATAAATGAAATTCCCGAATGACAGAAATGGATGCCGCATACACGTGTCATCAAGGGTGTGTCGGAAAAATAACATGCGTTCACATCACAGAGGCACACTCCTACTACACAACAGTGACACTGACGAATACCCGACTTCCCGTTTTTTTTTAACACTCTGATTCTTCCTTCTTCACCATGCTACAGAAAAAAAAACGTTTTTTTTTTTGAATGAATGATGCGAAGTAGTATTTCACTTCAACGATCATAGTAAGAAATCATTAATAGATCATTATTAAAAATTTATATTACAAACTTATACAAAGTACAAACAATAAATATAAAAATAATCATTATATAAACAATTATAATAATGATTTGTTAAGCATTTTATATTTTTAAAATTTTAAAATATAGAATATTTTCATAAATAAATATTATAGACAATTAAATAAGAATATTTAGAAATGATAAAACTCACCTAATATAATGCCAATGTGGTGGTATGCCTAATTCCGGACAACCTGAATTTTCATACATACTTATGTAGTCTAGAGGATCCGGACCTCCCAACCTAAGGTGCATAGAAAATCTCAGTTATTTGGTTTTACATCCGGTTAAATTCACGTACGACTAAGGGTGGCTAAATATAAATCGTCCTTTCTTCTGTATAAGAGTTCCATACTTAAACTTAATAGAAACCACCTTTTCGATATAGAACTTTACAATATCGTATCAATCAAAAAATATGTAAATTATTTATGAAAAATTATAAATATATATTCAATGAATAATTAAAATATTATTTAATAATATAATGATATTTTTTAAGATAAATACATATTTAATTCAAAAAAAATTCTATAAAAAAATATAAAAGAACATATTAAATGTAATGATTTCTTTCTAATAAATATTAATAATTATTTTTTATTTAATATATTTAATATCAATAATTATTATTCATTTTTATTATTTATATAATTATATATTATTACAAGAATTTTATGCAGAAAAATTATAACATAAAATGAATTAAATATAATCAAAATAAAATAAAATTGATATAAATTTTTAATTTTAATTATTTAATTTTATTTTAAAAATCAAATAATTTTTTAATTTTTCTAATTTTTAATAAAACATGAATATTAAAAATTGATATGTATGATAGCTAAGAAATAATTAAGAAATAAAATAATAATTTTTAATAAATCTACACTTTAAAAATACATAAGTAAATAATTTCTAAAATATTTTCAAAATTGTATAATATAAAAAATAAATTAAAATGTGTAATTAATTAAAAATGCAAATATTAATATTTCTATTTTATCTAATATTTTTTTTCTCATTCTAACATAAACAGCATGCGATTTAAATCTCACATATTCTAGCGCTAAGAAATCACTTTTTGTTGCTACGCGTTAAAATGCAGAATTCTTACCAGTACTTTACAACTGCAGTGACAGTGAGCGGATTGCTTTGGTCCGGATAGATCTCTTTACAAAGATTGTGAAGAGCGTCAAGGCCCAGAGCTCGTGCCGTCGGTACCTGGATCGGTTGTCCCGGTGGAAAACTTCGGCAAAATTCCTCCCTTTCGCGCATATTTCCGTACATATACGCAGATTTCAAACCACAAAGTATATTGCTTTGAAAATATTAAGGATATATGATACACGATCACTTTGTTTACTCTCTTACAACCACTATGTATACTTTCCACTAAGCACGAAACATACGTCTCTGATTCCTGACAAAACTAAATTCTTTTAGAGCGGACGATCGAGTAATTCCGAAATCACTGCGCGTCTTTAAAAGTCACTTTAGGCAATAACAGAAGATACTTTATCATTGGTTCTTATAAGTCGAAGCGTCTTTCTATTGGATCATTCCGATGGAGTTAAATTACTCTTCGACCAATTGAATAATTCCTATACACAACTACATTTTCTATATGATTCTGTAGACAATACATCATATATGATTGAAAATGCATTCTATCTATATGTCTCGTAAACTTTGAATATCAGAAGTTAAGCGTTTAAACATGTCAGACTCGGCAAGATGAGGTTACAATACGCGGTTTTATTTCTTCTTTATCTTTTGCGGAATTTACAAATATGTTCAACAATTATGGTAATAAATAATACTACGGATTCTCAACAAGAATACAGACCTGAAGGTCCATTAGTAATGTGTAAATTTTTGTGAGTATTCACAAATTTAATCATATTTATTGATTAAAAGTTATTTTAAATAATGAATAGATTACTGTTTTTTTTTTGTTTCAATAAATTATTTATTTTTATAGCATGAATGTACATTTTACAGGCCAAAAGAATTTATAGAATGTGAAGAACCAATTGATCACAAAGGTAATAAAACTGCTAAAGAAGAAACTGGATTTGGTTGTGTAAAGGTATAACATTGTATGTTATAAATATAAATATTTTATCAAAACAGTAATTTTTTAAATATTTTATTTTTAGTTTGGAGGCTCCAGATATGAAGATGTTGAAAAAACTAAAGTATCATGTACTGTGTTGCCATATATAGAGTGTTATGGACCTAGAACATTTAATCGTGAAGGAGTTCCTTGCATAAAATATAGTGACCATTATTTTGCTACTACTTTATTGTACAGTATTCTGTTAGGTTTTTTGGGTATGGATCGATTTTGTTTAGGACAAACTGGTACTGCTGTTGGCAAACTATTGACGTTAGGAGGAGTAGGAGTATGGTGGATTTTTGATGTCATTCTATTAGTCACAGGTTCTTTACAACCTGAAGATGGCAGCAATTGGAATCCTTATGTATAGTACATCAAACGTGGATACATTCCAGAAATGTAAAGTAACATTTAAGTATTTTGTATGTTACTTTTTTTAAATCAATATTTAATAATAATTTAATAATTTCGAATTTATAAGATTATTAGCGTAATATCTTTTATAAAAACAAATTTATATTTACTTGTGTATATATATATATATATATATATATATATATATGTATACATATATATATCTTAATATGTAAATAAATATTCCTACAAGAGAAGTTGTTTTTAAATATTAATAGTTTCTATTTTCTCTTTTTATTAAAAACATTTTTTTAGAAAGATTAAATGTTTTGATAGTTATCTAAAAAAGATTAAAGTATAAATATATTTTAATATTTATCTATTATAATTCATAATCATCTGGATGGTACAATTCACTGAGTAATCTGTAAATATATGATGGTGCATTTCCACCCCTAAAATAAAAATTGTTAATATTGTAAATATTGTTACATATTGATTTTATGAAATTAAGTAATATAAAGAATAAAAATCTTTAAATCATTAATCTTACGTGTTTGAAATAAATAATGTAACTAATTCTGGTGGCACATAATCAAAAACTGGGTTATATACATGAATTCTTTCTAATAAAGTTAAATTTGCATCATCAATTACACCTTCTAATGGTGAAACATGTTTGTTAAAACCATCTTGTTCATGAGAATATAGATACAGCGGAGAAAGTTTATACAATGGTAATAAAACCATTACTGGGACAGAATAATGTTTTGCAGCTTGAGCAACTGTGTGTGAACCCGAAATCGCTCTCAATCCTCCATTTGCCATAACAGTATGTGTAGTAATTATTACTTTATTTACACGTGACATCATTGCAAAAATTGCTACATCTGATATTAAAGTAGTTTTAATTTTTGCTTTTGCAAGATTTACTGCCATTTCATGGCCCTATAAGTCATAAAAATATATTTATATACTTAAAAAAATTAAATAAAAATCAAATATAAATTATTTAGAAATTTATATATATATATATATATATATATATATATATATATTTTTTTTTTAATTTTATATATATTTAAATAACGTACACTTAATGATGGTCCCCCTTCAGCTACTATAACTTCAAAAGCTCTTGTTTCAGCAGCTCTTTTGAAAAACTCTTCTACTAATTTTGATGTACCGATTGTCATAATAATTTCATTAGAATGAATGTGTTCAGAAGCTTGCTGTGTAATATTTTCTGCACTGAAATACATATTTTAACATAGTATAATACAGAACTCTTTGTACTTTCATTTCTTATTAGAACTAACCAGGTTTCCAACTCAACTTCAAATTCATTAATGTGTTCTATAATAGCTGATTTTAAAGAAGGTACAGAAATATTGAAATCAACTTGTTGATCACCTTCAGCAGTGAGAATTTTATGTAAAGATTCTTGTGGATCTGTTTCATCATTTTTATTTTTTAATTCAGAAGTATACTCTTCTCTAATTATTTGTAATATTCTTCGAACCATATTTCCAATAGAAAATTCAAGAGGATTAGCTTCTACTAAATACTTTCCATTTGTTCTAATTATACTCATCAAATTTCTAAAATAAATAATTATTTTTTGTTATATTCTTATTTTTAGTAAAATTTATATATGTATATATATTTAAAAAACACAAATAAAATATCTAATTATTATTATTTATTGTAAATTCTAATCTAATTTTTAGTATTTTAATTTTTAAGAAAAATTTAAATTTAATTTTTTAAAAAAATTATTATCTATTTTTAATAATCAATTACTAATTATATACATAAAAAAAAATATATTTTTTCTAATAATCGATTATTGATTATTGTGACTATGTATGCAGCAATTACATATACATTATATAATACTATCAATAGATATTAATATTTATTGAAATTTATATTCTTTTTATTAGTGTTTCTTAAATTTATGTTAAGTTCTATTAAATAAAAAAAAATATAATTACTCTGCAGTAGTCCATTCTGCATTATTTATAATTTCTTTTAAAGCCAATACAGTAGCAACTACGATATTATATATACCTTTAATATCACTGAAACATTATAAATAATATAAATATAATACATTATAAATAATTCATTTTACTTAGGTTAGATTATTTACAATTCTCACCCGTAATGAATGTCATCTATTAATTTTAACATTTTTTCATTAATTTCTTTATCTTTTATGCTAACCATTTCGATCAAAAAGTTATTAGAGATTTTTCTTAAATATTATTCTTTTTATAAAATATATATGAAAGATCGAAACATTTCTACTAATATTATTAAAATTATCGACATTAAAATACCAGCTGTTAGAAGACTAGACCAACGATTGGTTCTGCTTTACTCTCCTTGTTATCCTATTCTGTTGCATTGCACGTGTATTTTAATCGCGTGACATGTGCACTATACGTTTGATTTTTGATCTTCAACATTTATAACGTTATATTATTATAAATACTTTAAATAATATTTGATAATTTATCGATATTAATTTACATTTAAAATACTGCAATTATGGCTCGTATTGGGGATGTTGTAAGTATAATAAATGATTTTATATATTTTTTCATATGAAAATGATCCTTAACCTACCATGTATATCTTTCCGCCTGAAAATTACCGCAAATTTGATTGATTGAAATTAAAGAATTAAAAACTTTACTTCAAATATAAGGTATGTTTAATAATTATTATATTATTGTAGCAAACAATTCTTAACTTTAATTCATTAAAGTATTTAATATTTAATTATTATTTCTTTTTGTTTATTTCTAGTTTATTTTGATATTGATATATTTATTAATTTAAAATCATTTATTATGATTTCAAGACTGCAGATCAATTGATAGCTGGTACTAATGTATTGTCTAGACCTGCAGAAGAATTTGATAATGATGTAAGTTATAAATAAAACCAAGAAAAATAAATTTATTAAGATAATAATTATAATAATTTTTTTTATTTAGCCTTCTGTTGAAGCAATGTGGGCAATGAAAGCTATGGAACATGCTGAAGTATACTTTAATGTAAAAAATATTTTAATAAAATTGATTTAATGTTACTTGAAAAAGTATATAAAATTTTAAATTAAAAATTTTTTATTTTAGATATTATGCTCAGTTGATCCGAAATTTCTAAAACTGACACCTCATGATGAACAAATATATAAAACTTTTCGTGATGTTTTCCCTGATCTCAAACTAGATAAAATAAATGAAGATGAATTAAAGTCATCCGAAGGGAAAATAAAATGGAGACCATTCTGTGAACAATTTAAAGGACTTGTTGAAGATTACAGTTTTGGTACATTATTAAGAGCAGATTGTGAAGGAGATTATTCAGAAGAAAATAGTATACTCACAACTAGAATACAATTTTATGCTATTGAACTTGCCAGAAATAGAGAGGGATTCAATGATGGTATTAGGCAAAAATATAAACCAAAGCGGACTACAGAAAAATCATAAATTATGATAAATATTAATATTCTAATAATTCTATATTATATATTATTTGAATAGTGTAATTTTTCATCTACAATTTTTTACAATTTATAAAATCTTATAAAATGTTATTTATAATGAACAATATCATAAATGAGTTTAAAAAAAATATTTTATTATTAATACAAAATATTCATTTTTTCAAGTTTTGTAACTGTAAACTCATTAAAGGATTTGATGCACGAGCTCGATATTTTGATTGTGTAGCAGTAGGTTTAGATGCTGCAGTTTCCCTATTAAACTTTTTCTTTCTTTTGCCAGTATTAACAAGTCTTTTTAAAGTTGGTGGAATTATATAATCTGGTACATCTTTTAAATGTGGTTGTAATTTTACAGTATGTAATGCTTTATCTTGTCTCAATGATTGCAAATCTCTTGGATTATCTTCAAAATAACTTTTTAATTTTTGACAATTGAGTACTTCTTGTTTTATTTCTTTTAAACGAGCTTCACGAACAGCAATTCGAGTTACTGCTTTCCAAGCATCTTTTGCTCGATATCTAAAAGTACACAATGATAAAATCAAAAATATAACAAATTTTTATGTAACATACCGAAAACCTTCGACTTCTTCTAATTTAAATTCATATGTCTTTAATAATTTATCGCAATTATAACATTGTTTTAATTCAACTTCAACATCTTCAAGAATTGGTCTTTCTCTTATTGATACAAGACTCAACACTGTTCCGTCATTTTTACCTCGAGCAGTACGTCCAGCTCTATGAATATAAGAATTTATATCTGGAGGAAAGTCAAAATTTAATACATTAGATACAAATTGAAAGTCAATCCCTCGGGCTATACCAAATTCTTTGTCTTTTTTTCGCTTTCCTCTTTTAATTTTTGCTATATGTGGCTAAAAAATAAAAATTGTAAATTTAAAACAAAAAGATCAATAATATGTAAATGACATATAGATACAAAATATTTACTTCTTCTAAAGATTTTTCATCCGATGCTATTATAATATCATATGTTCCAGAATTAAATTGAGTAACTGCTCTACATCGTGAAACTGCTGGTAATTCAGAATTTAATACACAAGTTGCTATTCCAAATTGTTCTAAAAACAATTTTAATTTATAACATCTATCTACAGTATTTACAAATATAATAGTTTTTCCCCTAAAAAAAAATAAAAATAATAAATTACATTACATATTTTTATTAATACATTAAATATATAATTATAATATATAATTATATTATATTTATATAATTTACCTAATTAAACGTAATTTTAACAAAGCACATAAAATAGCAGCTTTATCATTTTCCTCTGCTGCAAGACTATAATGCGATAATTGTGAAAGTGGAGCCAATGGAGGTTCCTCTAATTTTAAGATCACAGGATGACGAAGTACCAATTTTTTAAGTGTTATCACATCTTCAGATAATGTTGCAGAGGCTAAAACTGCTTGGTATAATATTGGTAAATAATTCAGTATATCTTTTATTTCATTTTCATATCCAAATGAAAATATCTAAAATAAAATATAATCATTGTCATGTACAGAAATGTGTATTTAAATTAAATTTGCCTACCAAATCAGCTTCATCAATTATTAATGTTTCAAGTGATTGCTTTAATTTCACATTTTTTGCTTTTAAATGTTGTAATAATCTACTTGGAGTGCTTATAACTATATCAGGTTTTTCTGCTAATAGTGGTTTCTGTGCACCAAGATTTATTTGAGGACTGACATCAATAGCTCTTACTTCTCTGCTACATTTTATTGTTAGACTGATTATAACGTCATGTATTTGTTTACATAATTCTTTGCTTGGAGCTATAATAAGACCTTTAATTTCTTGTTGTTTTCGTGTTTGTTTATTTGATAATATTTTTTGAATAAGTGGTATAGTAAACGCAGCTGTTTTTCCAGATCCTGTACGAGCTCGAATTAAAATATCTTTTCCTTCAATCATTAACGGTATTGTTTTTTCTTGTATTAATGTTGGTTCTAACCAACCTAATTTTGCAATAGCCTAAAATATTTCATTTTAAAATTAAATATATTACATAAAAAATTAATTTTATAATAATATAAAAAAGTTAGAAAACAATTTATTAATTTTAATAAAACAATAATTTTTATTTTGAAACATAACCTCTCTTAAATGATAATGAAAATTTATTTAAATACCTTTAAAATTCTATCATCTAATTCTAATTCATGAAAAGTTTTTGCTTTTGTTTCATTATCTTCATCCACTTCCATTTCATTTGAAATCATTTTAAATGCAAATTATGACTAAAATTAAAAAGCACGTGTTAATATGTTTTTAAAGATTTGTTGTTAATTCTATCGATTTCGATTCTCGACCAACGCCATTTGTGTTTTATTTAGATATCTATATTATCTAGATATTTTTTTCATCTTTATTTCATTTTAAAGACTTCTAAGTATATATACAGGATTATTATATATATAATGAATATGTATATTCATTATAGGATATTATATATAATGAATATGTACATGAATATATATATATATATATACACATAAATACTTTATATTAATTTTATCTTTTATTTACTTTTTCTTTTAATTTTTTAATTTCTTTCTAATTTTAAATATAATCTAATTTTATGATCTAATTTAAATAAATCTAATTTTAAATATTTTTACAGTATATTTAATGTATATATATAATATACATAATATAATATATAATATGTAATATATGTAGTATGACTTAAGTCATGATCGAACAATACTAAATATTTCTAATATATGAATAAATAACTTAAAGTAAAATAAGATAACAATCTAATTTTAAATCGATGTTTATCGCAACATACATAATCTATTTAAATATTTGCAAATAAAATATAATCAAATATTAAAACTTATTAAAAATTTGGTTTAGTTTAAATAACTAATTTTTTTTATGTATCAATAATTTTTAATTTAATTAATTTAAAAATAGAATAAAATTGAAAAATACAGTTTTAAGAATTCATATTAAAAATGAATTATGAATATTTAAACATAATCCAATATTGATTACTTTACCAAAGGATAAAGTTAATAAAATTAAAATAACCTGCAGGCATTATAAACAAATGAAAACTTAAGCAATAAATAAAATTTTAACAAATAAAAATTGAATTAGCAATTAATATTTTACTAGAAATGGAAAACTAGAAACTTATATTACACAGTTTTATCAACAAATCAGTGTAGAGCATTTATTTTTTATCATCTAGTTATATATTTTTTAGATAATAAATTTTATTTGTAAGTACTGACTTGTCTCATATATATATATATATATATATATATATATATATATATGTATTTTCATATGAATTTTAAAAACTAAAATTTTTTAATTCTACATTAAAATCTAAAAAATAGATAAAAACTAAATAACCTTTTAATATAAATTTTTGTTAAAATTAAGTTATAAAATCAAAAATTTTATAACTTATTATTTATTTTGTGTTAAATCATACAAATGATAAAATACAAATGTAAATTTAGTTATAAATAAAAATATTTTATAAAAGCAGTTACATTTTAAATATTATGAAAATTAATGTAACAATAAGATAATATTCATACGAAGACATACTATTATGAACTAAATAAGATAATACTGATTTCCATAATAGAAATTTTAATAAAAAAAAAAATAATTTAAAAAATAATAATATAAACAAAAAATATATGATATTAAATACAACACAAGAAGAAGTACATTAAAGAAAATACAAATTTTTTTAAAAAATATCTATAAATTTATCATAAAAAGAAATTTTTGGGAGGTAGAGATTTGAGAGAGACCATTTCTAGAATATATTACTATATACACACTTTAATAACCAAAAACAAACATTACAGTAATAATATTGTTATTAATATAATATTATGTAATAATAGAATCGTTTATCAATTGTAGTGTAAACACTAAAAATCTTGCTTCTTTTTTTATTGGAAAGAACAATGCATTCGCTTTGTCTGTTTATTAATTAATATTAATTTATGATCGTCGCGAAGTAACCGCGCTTGCGATTAGGCGTCGATCGCGACTGAAGAAATTACCATATCTCGCACGAAATATTTTCGCGCGGAAACGATCGATAGTTCGTCGCTATTGATCCCGGGCATCGATTCTCGATGCGATCGAGGCCATAAGAAGTAAGGGTGGGGGTGAGGGAGCAAGATATCGCGAGCGCGGCGAATCGCGACCGTCTCGTTACCTTAGAATAATAAATATTATAGTGCAATATCTAAAAAATCTGTCTTTTTTATGCAACTTACACATTCAAATACAATGTACTCGAAAAATTTACAATCGTTATTGCCCTTACAAACATTAAATCTCTATTCGAATGATGGTAAATCCGCGATCCCTCTCTCTGACCGCTAAAAAAGAATGTTTGATTCAAGATCGTGTGAGTGCGTGTGTAAGAATCAAAAAAGAGGTGCAGCTGCTGCTGTAGTGATACGAAAACTGTCGTATTTTTTCTTCCTTTTTTTTTTTTCTTTTCTTGTTATATATATATATGCGCGTGTACGCGTACATGAGCATTGCCTATACATGTATGTATGCTCGTACTTTGCGTATGCACGATCGTAGATTCGATATTCTGACCGTGCGTTTTACGATCCGGAATAATATATGTATAGGATACTTTTTCGCTTATATTTTTTCCATTTGTTTTCGATTTTTTCGCCAATGTTTCGGCACTTTTTGGTCATGGTTAACTGTGTGGGCTACATATCCCTGTATACGATACATAATATACATATTATATGTATACGTTATAATACGTGTATTATATATTTCGAAAGTATATATCTGTCAGAACGAGTAATTCATCGCTCGGCAGTCCTAGTTGACACTCGAGTTTTAACATTGATGACAAATTACAATTGCGTGTGCACATTTTATATATATGTACAATCGCTTTCATGACCGATATGTGAAGTAGTAAAACAATAACACAAAACATAAAGAATCACGTGATGATTTTACGCGGGAAACCGTCGTTTATCGACCACTTTTGCGTTGTCTATGTAATAAAAACGGCAATAAAAATTCGCATACGTATACAATGCTCGTGGTAAAACGCGGATTTTATCTCCCGCAGAAAAATCAGATATTGTTTGCCGAAGCAAAACGAAAAAACTTATTTTTTTTTTATGTGTATATAGGTTATCTTGTCTCGCTTCTAAAATAGAAACGAATCGATCGAGAAATTTTTCAATTATTATTTAACAAGAAACATTCTCCATAGTGGTGGAGAGGGAATTTTTGAGTAACTAAAAAAAAAAAAATGAAAAAATAGAACGAAAATCATCGTGAAAAATTAATGTGTATTCGTAACTATATATTTTTTTCAATGTACGGTCTGTTTTCTTTAAGTTGCATAAGATGATTCTTTTTATTTTATAACATTTAACTCTTTCGCTTTTAGATAATTTTAATTTAGATAATTGTAATTTCAATAACTAACTCGATTTTATTATGACATTTACATCTTTTAAAATTATGCACAAAGTGAAAATAAATAGAAATAATTAATTAATTATTAATTATTTAATTAATTACTATCAATAATCACACGCAATTTTCATTGTTAAAAAATTATCATTAAATTATTCACTTATTTCATGAATAATATAAAAAAAAATTATGTATGCTTATTTAATTACATGATTCAATATTTTTTCACAAGTCGAAAGAGTTAAGATAACTCACGGAAGTCGCACGATGAATATTCGTTCATCTATCGTGTAGCAACTAATCAACAACATATAATTTATGTAAAAATACGCATTGTAATTTATATAAAATGACATTAATACGTAACAACACAGATTGCTATGAGAGAGCAGTGCTTCTGAATTCAGTTCGCAAGATGGAAGAATAAGATCAAATAAGATCAATTAATATTTATATTTCGAAAAGTTTGTTTCCTGAATTTTGTCTATGTTAATTAATTTCCACCAGTTGCATGTCTTAGTTATCACAATACAATTTTACGACTTCTACAGAATAATTTTCGATTTTTGAGAGATTTGAAAATGAAAAGGATATTGAAATAGATGCAGGGCTGTACGCTGAGAGAAAGCTATAGATATTATGCAATAAAATTTATTAATTATATGCATATATAGATATATATTTTCATTATCAGATGCATATTTTTAAAAAAATTATAAAAAAAATACAAATTGGATAAATAATATAAAATAATTGTGAAATTTTTAATAAACGAAATGATAATCGTAATCGAAATGGTTGTTTCGAAATAATTAATATCATAAAATTTTTATTTTTCGAGATTTTATAATTATTAATTATTTTTTTTAGCTAGACGTGCTTTGTAAAGAAAAATTAAGCTTTGAAGCCATAATAACGATACTACATTATTACATTTAGAATATCACTCTATGAAAGTTTTAATGCTATATCTTTTATCAGTTCTATAGTATGAAAATTCTAAATGCCAATTTGAGCATATACTTTCCTATCTCACTTTTGTACATATAATTGTACAATTTTTATTAATTTTTTATTATAATGTATTGTCTCTTCTTATAAAATTATAATTTTTTTCAATTCCTCGATAGTTAATTATTAATTATTATATTATCAACCACTAATTAAAATAATAGATGTATTTAAAATCTCGAAAAATTTTTATTATTTATGATTCTTTAATATTTCGAAGCAACTATCAAGTCTCAAAAAACACACACATATAATAATGATTGTTTTCAAAGATATAATAATTTGCAAACATATTACAATTTTCTCTCAGTCTACCATGATCGAAGGATGATGCTAAAAATCAAAACAAGGAAATAAAGGGATGAAATGAAGAAATATGATTACAATATATCGTGTAAAAATATATCTAAAGTTTTGATCTTTCTACGAAAAAAAGAATCAATGATTATATCCTTTCGAAAGAATCTCTAGCCTCTCGTTATAGTCCTCGAATTTTAATCAAAATCGAATTAAAATTTTGAGGACTCGAATTTGCAAATTTCTCATCAAACTAATTATCGGTAAGTAAAATAGGACAATTAACGATTTTGATCGCGGTAATTGGATAACGGGGCAATATAGTAGCGGTATTAATGCCGGTTATAGTTAGGTAGCATTGATAAATAGAGTAATAGCAGTAACTGACGATACGAATAAGTTTTTCTAAATCTAGGATGTAGCTTGATTTTCAAAGAAAGAAGGAAAAATCCCAGACGAAGATCCTTGAGCAGGATGACTATGATCGACCTTGACAACTCGAGAGCCGATCGACACGAAATCACCATGGAGAAGGTGAGCATATCATGATTCAGGAAGGAGAGATCGATGGATTTAAAGTTTGATAAACTGTCTGATTCACTGATTCAGTTCCTTTTTCGTTTCAACAGGTTCTACTATGTGTGACGTATACACAAGATCTTATCTTTGAGATAATCTTATCGACGAATAAAAGGCGGAGCCGTGAATCGGAAAAAATACACCAAAAAATTCTTTCGTAAGTAAAACCATTGGAATCTGAGAAGGGGATCTGTTGCTAACTAGAGTCTGATATGTAGACTGACTTTTGGGCCAGGTCTGGGTCGTCTGTGCGTCATATCTCACGGGCCTATCGTATCGATTCCCATAATAGATTCAATCGCACAGTCGACCAGCGACGCCTTTTCTAAGATTGGATTGTTCGAATCGCGCGATTGGTCTTGCCTTTGAATTAAACAGACACGTAATATTATAATTCGCTGGGGCGTCGCTGAATCGCCTAACAGACAATTTTTTTATGCTCTCTAACGAATGAATTGCAAAGATATGTAACGTCGAGATATACACAACTACAAGATATAGTGTATTTTTCTCTCTTTTTCTCTCCCTCTTTCGGTATCTCTCTCTTTCTCTCTATCTATATTTATTATTATATATACTTTTTTTTCTTTTAATATTTATATATATATATTGTATCTCTCTCACTCACACAGTCTCTAAATTTTAAAGCACTCTCACGCCGGCTGAGACGATGATCACATGTGAACATTCGCAAGCCTGTCCTACATGTACTGATGACGTAGAATACAGCTATATAAATTATATTTCTTATATGCTTATAGTAATTGTATATCGTTTATATATACACATATGGCTATATGTATATATACGTATATATACGTTACCAGTTACCAAGATTAATACGTTGAAAGCTGTTCCAAGTTGCAATTTAACGTTATTTCACGGATACTTCATCCGTGTATCTATCTTTTCGTGTTCACTAGCAGAAGACGAAAAGATTGCTTACAACCATCGATCATTTTCAAGATATTATTCTTGCATGGCACCGTATGCACCGTTTACTTACAGCATGTGTCTTATTTCGCTTATCTCCCTGCTTGCTCGCGTTATCTCTATACTTCTAAAAAAAATCTCCCCTTTTGGCGTAAATTAATCGCTCTACTATTCTTATCATGCACTTCTAATGTACGTATTTGTCTCTCTGTATGTCTTCTTTCATTTTTTTATACAAATATCGCGTGCATCAAAGGATTTTACAAAACGTTACCCTAATATTATATATATATAATCTCTGATCGATCGCGATACGATCGAATATTCTCAATAATTGATTAGTCGTACCGGCTAGTTCACTTGGAAGATTAATATAATTGCAAAAATCTATCTTTCCTTAAAATCCTTTCACTATTTCTATATCTTGATCTAAATTTATTTCGCACTGTTGTAGGTCAAATCAATTTTGTTGTCTCTCAGTGTACTTTCAGTAAAGACGGAACAAACTAAATGCCAAAAAGATTAACTTGGAAGCTCGACATGTTCAACCAATAACTCGAAAAGAACTGACAAATTGGCGAGGATTCGATCGAATTATCACGATTGATCGGTCGACGAATAGATACCGCGATCAAGTACGGTGCTCATCCTATTTCCTGTGTTTGCAGACCTCGCTAGTTTGCATCTATACATGCGATGCAGTTCTATGCGCACATATATATACATATATATTTTCGCAGCAACACGTTATAAAAAGCGACGCTTTGTTCTTTTATCCAATGAGAACGCTTTGAAAGACGCAGTCGCAACGTTTTTTCTCTATATACGCATTTCCTTTCGTGGCACTACATCTTTTTTTTCTCTTTCTCTCTTTCTCTCTCTCTCTCTTTATCTATCTCTCGCTCGTTCACGCTCTCCCTCTCTTTCTCTCACTTAACATTTTCAGCTTTTTTTTTTTTTTAAATTTTTATTCATCTTTTTTTTTGTTTATTTTTGTTTATGTCTCTTATTTAGTTTGTTCAATACGTTATACGTTGCACACTACTATGTTTGCTTTTTTGTTTCTTCTTTCATCGCTTACATCGCTTTTTGTTCCTTTTTCTTTTTTTTTTTTTTTTTTTTTTTTTAATGTTTTCATCTTTTTTTTCCTTTTTTTTTTCTTAATCTCCTTTCTTGTCTCTTTAACCGCGATTTAAAAATTTAAAATACTCGTATTACACGTAAGTATTTGTATGACCCTGTTTTCGTAAAGGCTTTCTAACATAAGTCGATATCGGCCGAGGAAGATAAAAAGGAAAGGCGTCGAACGTGAAGGAAGAGAAGGAATCATCAGCTTGAAGAATGGTTATTAACAATACGGATTTATCCATCGTTGAGTGCGGATGTGTGCAAAGGAAACAGGAAAGGATGTCTTTTTCTGTGTGTTTATAATATCTCTTTTCTTTTTCCTTAATGTGCTTTTTTTTTGACTTTTCATATAGAGTATTTCTCCTTCGTTTCTTCGATCTGTTAGAAGAGCCAACATAATAATGCAGAATAATGTCGTTTATTTAAAATATTAACACAAATATTGATTTTCCATTGCGTTGCTTTGGTATGATCCATGATTGTTCTTTTGAACAAGTTTTTAATTTGTTATACATTTTGTTAAATTCTCTGACACATATTCAGTGCCATGTTTAATAGTAAAAAAGTATTATTGAAATTTTTTTTAATAATTTATTAACTGTCTCAACGATATTTAACTATTATACTGTAGAAAAAATTCACTATTTAATGATGTGTCTTAATTTTGTGTAATTTTTACTTTTAATATGTAATTATAGTACAATAATTAGGATCATAGATGATCTCTAAATTATTATATTTTAAAAGTACATCTAGTTCAAAAAATAATTTTCATTGGCATTATCCAAGTGAAATTACAAAGCTTGAAATATACATATTCCATTTTTGTATTTGTTATTCAAATATAAAAAGGCTAGTGTTACGTTATACATTGGGTATGATTGTTTCTCACAAAAATCTTGACTTCTTTCTGATTCACAAAGAATTTCAGAATTTTTATATTCAGATATCTTCTACTGTCTATACTGTAGTAATTTTGTGTTAAAAAACTTGCATAAATCTTCTTACTTTAAAATGCCTACATTTTACAAAATACTCGTGAGATCAATTCCTAATATCGTTACAATCATCTTATCTATGCGATAACACGAGATACTTTTTTTTTTTTCCTAAAAAATTGATATGCAATGAGATACGATGAAGCAATTTCTAGAGAACAATTATTTATAATTATTAATCAGACTTTTTTTTTTTTTTAGTTCAGAAATTACATTCCTTCTTTTGATCATGGATCAACGAGCAACGCTGGAAATTCATCAATGTATTGAATGTGAATTCGTACAACTATCGAAGAAGAGTATAAATAAGCATAAATAAAAAAGAAACAAGGTAAAAAATCACATAAATGGGAGGACGTGTATCAACTTGTTTGGTTCGTGTAACGGAAGCACGTTACCCCGTTATCTTCATTAGACGAGACGATCTTTCGAATGGATCGTGAATATCGATACAAACAATTAAAGATCCCAACGGTAGAAGATCGTACCATCGTATATTTTTTATATAATCCCTGTCCTTCAAGACCCATTTTTGGGTCTTTCTTAATTTACGTATGATTCGATAAAATTCTTTATTTTTTTGATCGATTGCAACTGATGAAATGTTCTTTCTTAAATGCTTTGATGAAGGTTTTTATAAGATATTTACCTGTTATATAAAATTGTATCTTTTTACTTTGTAATTTTATAATTATTTACATAGAAATCTAAAATATTAAAAGAAATATTTTCTTTCCTTTTATTAGCGTATAATTTTTTATTTTATTTTAAACAGATTATAATGATTATATTGATCGTTAATGCAATCCAATAATAATTTATTAAGATTCTGTAATAAAATTATATAATTATATAAATTGTATAAGGAAGACTAGATATAAAGATAATTATATTATTTGGCACAAATATTATTGATAGCTTTCAGTGGTTAATAAATTCTTCTATATTAAAATTAAATTAATTTTGATAATTATTAAAAGACAAATGCTTTTCATATTGAAAACAATATAAAAAATCTATTAATTAATTGAATTAAAAAAAATATCATGTAAAATATAACAGGATAAAAATTTCTATAAATTTTTTTCTACCAACAAAGCATTTAAGAATTATTATTTAAGAAGAATATAATCGCATTAGAGAAAAATCTACAAAAATTCTTCCAAAGGGACATTTTATAAGTCGCAATCTAACCAAATCTCTTCCCTCGCTCAATGCCGATTTTTTCTGTCTTTCCCTATCAAAGCCACTACTTACGTACAAATCCTACTCCATTTTTGCATAAAAATTTATCACTCTTTTTCCGCATAAAACGCATAAAACGCATAAAACATTAGAAAAGAAGGAAAATCTATCTACCGTACAAATATATCTACAAATAAGATCCATAATGAATCCATGGATCCAAGAATAATTCTTATCTCCTCAATTAAAATATTTTATCAAATATTTCTAATATATGAAAAAAAGAAGATATTCTTGCTAAAAATAATAATATTAGATCTAATTTCATATCTCTAAAGAGCAATCAAATAGAACTTTCTAATTTTATTTGAAAGTAGTTAAAGAATAATTAAATAGAATTTAAAATATTTCAATACGTATATTGAAAAATTAAAAAAAATGCAAGATAGAAAATTTTAATTAAGGAAGGCAGAATTATTTTAAGTACGAACATAGAAGCACGGAGAACGAAGAACACGGCTAATTCTCTTTAAATACGCGAACAAAAGGAAACACGAAAAATCGGCAGGCAGAGTTCGCTATTCGAGAACAGCTGCAGCGGTACGACAATTGTATATACGTATATGTGTAATGTCTTTATATATGTATGTATATACGTACATATGTGTCTGTGTAACGATGATTTGGCACACGTAATTAATCAGTCCGCGATTTTATCTCTTCCTCTTTTTTTTTTTTTATATAAGCTTGGCACACGGTTTGAGCCGCTCGCCAGATGATTTTCATGATCTCAATATATATTCTTTCTCTCTCTTTCTCTCTCTTTCTCTCTCTTTCTTCTTCTCTTGCATTTATCTCGTTTCATTCGATTTTACTTTTTGGCACACGTAAAATGGAAAACAATTACACGTATATTTCACGCGCATTCATGCATCTCTGCGATTCAATTAATTTCGAGTGTGCTATTCTTTCTTTTCATATATTTGTTAGGGATGGGACGTTTGTACCTTCGAAACTACAAAAGTTTCGAATTAATTGAATTTGAAATTTTTGCTATTTTTATAACTTGAAATTCTTAAAAATTATTATATTAAAACTTATATATTAAAAATAATATAATATTTGTATTTAAACAAATTTTGAACTTATTTTAATTGATATAATTTCATTAATTCATTGTAATAATTTATATAGAGAAAAAATAAAATAATTTAATTTTTTATAAATTAACTAAGATTTTTACATTTGAAAAAATTCATAAAAAAAAAAGAAAAAAAAGAAAAAAAACGAGAAAGAATATAAAAAATATATATTTTGGATTTCGAAAGTTTCGAATTCGAATTTTACGGATTTAAAAATCAGCCTTCATTTCTAACTTTTATTTTTCGCGTACTCTCTCGAGGTCTTTCCAATTCCTCGTTTTCTTTCATTACATTTAACCATTTCTCTCCTGTGAATACTTGTTCATATATTTCCGTTTGTTTTCACACGCACACGCACATGCACACGCACACATACATGCACACGCGCACACACAAATCTCTCTTTTCTTCTTTTTCTCTCTTTATCTCTCGTGTTTCTCTTTTTTTTTTCTTATTTTCGCTTAATTGTTACAGAAAAATATGCCATTGAGAAAATCTTTGCGCGGCCGTTTAAAATCGCGCTCGAGTCTTTTTTTCTTCTTCCACGCGCCCTTCAGACGAGAGAACTAAAAGATCTTTTATTTTTTTTTTTTTTAAATTCTTGCCCTTAATTCCACGCCCCTTAATTAATAGGGCGCATGCGCTTCAATATCCTATAAAAACTAAGTTATTTCTTAACTGATTGCCTTGCGTTACGGTTAAGGTTGGGCAACTGATATGGGTCATCGCGGACCCACGTCTACATTCGCCTTTATACACGTCAATCCTCTCGATCGAGAAATTAACTCTATTCCCTTTAAGAATTCTAATTATCGTTATTTTATGTTGTTTTATTGTTCTATGTCTATTTTATATTGTACAAAATTTCTGTTAATTTATTTTTAATAATTCAATTTTTGTTTTAGATGCTTATTAATAATTCAATTTTGGTTTTATAATGTATTGTTTTTGGAAGAGAATTGTTTGAAAAATTATGATTTTAACAGAAAATAATTTTTTATTTTTTTTAAATATATTCCTATATTGAGCAAATCTGATCTTTTTACGTTTACGTGATATGTGAGATTATATGTATTTGAATGTTTCAAAAAATATTGATTCCATGCTTATTGAGTATAATACATATAAGAGAGTGTCATTTTTTTTTTAGACGAAAAAAGATGAAAAGAATAAAATAATACTATTTGAATATTTAAATATAAATATATTTAAAAATTTTATCGATATGGGCATTATAACGTTTCCATAATAATTTTAATAACATTCGATCTTTGTTGGTTTTGAAAATATAATGAATCAATAAAACGATTAAAAATAAAAACATAAAAATTCGTACAATAGTAAAAAATATTGCACGTTTGTTACTTAATTGATTTATTGTGCTTGCTTTGTGCTTGCTTCACAATAATCCTGTTTCTTAAAGATTGTACTATTAAACTCTATATCTTTTTCAAAAGTATCTCTCTTTTAAACTTACTAAAATTTTTAAAAAGAAATAAGCTTATAAATAATTTAATTGCAAAGTTTGAATATAATTATTTTTTACTTAAAGTATTTTTATATTTTATATAATATAATCATAAAGATATTAAAATTCATAAACGCAATAATAAATTCAATTCTTCAATTTTTCCAAACAATACATTATAAAAATTATTTTGGCTGATTGGCAAAAATATCGTCGATTAAAATCCTTTATAACATTTTCACTGTGCAAGTTTAAATCAGAGTAATTAATCTTGCATGCAATACTGATCCAAATATAAGACGCAAATAAAAATTATAAAATTTTAAAAATAACTTTTATAATATTCACATGTAAAGCACATACTATGTATTTCTATATTAAGTAAAGCCTTACAATAGAATATCTTATATTAATATATATTATTATAATATATTCTATATTCTACAATATATATATATAATTCTATTTTTATATTACAATATTATATTGTAATTATATATCATATTGCAGATAAGTATTCTGTAGAAATATCTTTCATAACAAAAATTATTTGTTAGCATATATAATGGATAAAATACTAATTCAATCAGTGAAAATGTTTTGCGTTAGTTTCGAAACAAGTGGTCGCCATGAAACAAGGTAATGATCACATGGTACCGCGATAACAACCAATCAAAACCCGCGCAGTTAGGATAAGGCCCCTGCACTAACAGATTGCTCTACGCCACAACGATACGATCGCGTTTCCTATCGACGCGTGCAACGTTCTTGCTTTGTTTCAATAAATTTCGTTCGTCGAGGGCAAATTGCGAGACGAATAAGGAGGATTATATTGAAGAGAATTGGGATCGAGAAAAATCTACGATTAATAACTCTTTTTATTATACTTTGTGGAGAAACAAAAGACCGATACGCGATATATATTCTTCTGATCAAACTGCTCGTAACTAGATATAGCTGGAATCGTGCGAATAATGGAATCGTGAAAAAAAGAAACAAGAAGGATTTAAAATGCAATGATTTGTTTTACAAAATCAAAAATCATTTGACAAATAATTTATATCTTGTTCATAGGTTTTTTATAATAAGAACGTTGAAATAATTCAATTTCCATTCAGGATAATATTGAAAAATTTACGAATTTCAATTAATAACCTAACCTATACCATTCCATTTGTAGTATAGTTGGCGTTAGCTTAAGACATCTCATCACAACTTCTCAGGGATTCTACGAATCATATTGAATATTCGAGAATAAAAATGTTAAACAATTTCGTAGAAATCCTAATCAGAAATCAAAATTCATAAAGTCTATAATCTACAAATTTTGAAGGAGCTCGAAATTTGGATATTCTAGAGATATACACTATTCCAAGTATCCATGATTTATTTTATATTTTCTTTTTTTCTCAATCTTTTCTTTTTGTTTCTTTATTTTTGTGATTTATTTTTCTGATTTATTTTTCTGTTTCAGAAACATTTTTACACAAATTATTATAGAATCAATAATTAAATAAGAATTAAATAAAATTTGTTAGTAATATTTTGTAATTTTCATTCAAAATTTTAAATTGTTTAAAATTTATGGGTTTCAGTCAGTAATCTAACCTATGTCACTCTATTGTTAAAAATCTAACTTACATAAAATATATTTGATACTGGAGATATTGCATAATTTTTCAGAGATTTTATGAACCAAGTTGAATATTTGATTCTATATAAGAATCAGAATTATTGTGATAAATCAAAACTCATAATTCAACCTATAAATCTTAAAGCAGTTAAGATTCTAAGAGTACAGATTTCAAGTGTCATGATTTACAAAATTTGTTTTTTTCTTTTTGCATTCTTTATCCTGATTTATTTTTTTGTTTTAGCAATCATGTTTACATGAATGATCATAAGTAATAGCAGCAATCTGAAAAGGATTAAATGAAACAACATCATTTTGAACATC